GTATGGGAGGGGCCGGTGTTCTGTCAGATCAGCATGCGTTGTCAGATAGTCATACGCTTAGCTCTGACATGTATACACTGTCATTACCATATGATTTTATGTAATCAGCAACATAGAATCATGACGTAGATCATCAGACACTTTGTTATTAACAGTTATATGGCATCCTGACTTAGCGGTTAAGTAGGTTAATGAGTTTTACACGGGCGTGTGTTGTAGTTGACTGCAGCTGCAGCCAGTCCTGCTTTAAATTCGCTTTGAAACCACGACAACGCAAGTATATCTATATAGTTATCGTATTATGTCATATTATAAACAATTTAATGGCTTATTTTCATCATAACTTGTTGCGTATGCTGGACTGACAACTCCACTGACGGTCGGACTTCTTAATGCGCATGCGTGGGCATGGTACTGACTGCATGTATGATATTCTGACAGCTGATAGAACACCGGCCCAGCATTTCCTGCTTAAATGGCTGCATGATGTCACTGATTGCATCACTGGGTTCTACCAAATGGAGAGTTTTCTTTTTATATATATATCGTTTGTTTGTTTCCTTTAAAGTTACATTTTAGGTTACCCTGTCTTAAATGTTTTTGAGTTTGTAAATTAGATTAATAATCTTATTCCTTTTCTCTGTTTAGATGTTGTTTGGTTTGACTTGGACTATTATGGGATGGTTTAATGAAGTGCAGGTGTGCAGACAATTTGGTATAAGACCAGTAGGATTTTAAATGGGTAAGATGGATGTTAGAGTGTAAAAAAAAATGCAAAACAATAAAATTCACCAGAAGAACCTGGAACTGGTGGTTGATGCTGACTTTTTTGTTCATCTGTTTTGACCATTTGACTACACTGCTTCACAGTTTCTTACCAAAGCTGATAATAATCTTCCAATTCTCCATAGCCATTTATTCTGGTGCTGTGGTGCAGTTTTGCGAGAGCTTGACTCAGCTCTGTAGCTCCAGGAAAAGGAACTGTTAATGTGCATACCAAGATATTTTGGAGAATGTCCCTTTCACGTCCAATATAACTGCACATGAGAGACAAGTTAGAGTCTGATCACTTTTCCAACTTCAGCCACATAGAAATATAGCAAAGACCAGGCCTTCTTGCTAACATAACAGTAGGCCTTGTACTTGGTGACATATAGATAATTCACAATGAATTCAGGCTTGCGAACCAAATTCTTGTTTGCAAAACTCGTTGAAGTTGTACATTTTATAATAACTTCACTGTTGAAAAATGTTGAAACACATCATAGCCTGATCAAAATTAACACCAGATTCATTGCCTGTGATGGGTGTGAAAAAATGTCTGACCAGAGCTGTGGAGTACTAGCGAGTGTTGCTGAAATAAACTCTTTCAAGGGACCATCGGGTGGAAAAAAACACATCTGACCAGCAGTGAGAAGATCAATGAAAGTAAAAATTGGGACGGATGATGGATCAAGACTGAGAAAAGATGTTTTGGACAGACTGCTGATAATGATGAATAGACATACAGAAGATGGAGGACGAAAAGAGAGGCAGCAAAGATTTCAGATTTCAAATTACTGCTAAAATATTCTCCTTTCTTTGTTGAGCTAAAACAACATTTCAATGTGCAAAATTTATCAGCTTTGCTCCCACTTTTGTGCATCATGACCACATATCAATTGCCTTTCCCTTGAGGTAAATGAAAGCCTTTTTCTCTCCAATTTAATCTGAGTCGAGAGGAAAATCGGGTCAATTTATAAGGAGTTAGCTGCAGGGTTACTGAATAGTTTAACTGCTATTCTCTCAAGACAGTCCCAAATTGAGGTTTAAAAGGGGTTTTTGTTTTGTTTTGTTTTTCCTGAGAGGGAGAATAAAAATGAGTTAAACAAAAAAGATTTTTTTTGTCACACAACTTTGAAAGGAAGGGTCTAGTCTTATGGATCTATCAAAATGATTGAAAAGGAGAACCCCGCAGAGGGAGCGAGTCCACCACAGTCCGTTGCATGTTTGCAAAGGGAGCGCCAACTCACCAGGGGCAAATTAGCCACACAGGAGAACTGAGGCATCATGGGAAATTAATGATCAGGACCTCCAGGAAGTAAGCTAATGAGTCCTTGTCCCGCGCGCACAAACACGGCGAGCCACGCACTCACGTAATGAAAGACAGAGGAGCCGAGATAAGGAGGAGGCCCTGTGGTGAGGAAGGCGACTAATGCGCAGCCGCAGCTGCTAATAACTCAAAGTCTTTGATGGGTGATAGTGGCAGAGAAATGGCGGGGTTAGTGATCTCACAGATGCACATATGTTAGGAAATCAGGTAATTACAGAAGACCACCAGTGGCTTCCACCCATGGAGGTATAGTGATTACAGCGGCTACATCTTCCCTTGGAATGACCAACAAAATTTTTAAAAAAGCAGAACACACACAAGCCGAATCATCTGCTTAAATGTCACTCTTGAAACAAAATCAGTCATTAGAGAACTATACTTTGCTTTTGTTCAAAGAAGTGATGCCTTTTCAGTGTATGCAAGGAGTTGCAAGGCTAAAACGTATACTTTGTTTTTTTTTGTTTTTTTGTAATAACTTTTTAGGCACTATTGGCCTTTATTAGACAGCAATCCGATCGGAAGGGGGCAGAGACATGCGACAATGGTCAAACTCACGTCGAGGTCTTTAACCTCTTTTAAGGGGCACCTGCTCTTTATACTGCATTGCTCAATACCCCACGTATACCTTGTTTATCTCAGAGGAGCTGCTCGTGGAGAATCTACAAGTTCTGAGGTTCAAACCGTATTTTCCAACAAACCTTTCAGGTCTGTCATATTTGGTACTTCTGGAAGTGGGTACGCCATAAAAGTTGTCATTAGTTGAAGTGTACTCAGTTCACTTTGTAACGTACAACAGATATTTAAATAGACAACTTAAGAAGACAAATAACACATTTTTGTCATTATCTGAAATATATCCAGACTAAACTTTTAATGGATCAGCAGATTCATCTTTTAAACTGCATGACTTTGGTTAGCCATTTTGGGTGTCTTTCTAAAAGTTCCTCTAAACAGTTTTCTTGAATTCGGTCCCATTCCCACAGAACAAGTGTAACTGAGCCACCTTTCAGCTGTGCCCACAAGGACATGTTTTATTGTGGATAATGGCGCTCTCTAAAAGCTTCAGCCAGCATTTTCACAAGCTCTTTACTTACTGTTCTGAGGTCAATTCACACATAATGCTTCAAGATACATCACCTGGAACACATAACCCGTCTTCTTCTTGAATGTCATGACGGCTGGGCATTTTCATACTGTTTATAATGGTAAAGATGAACTGGGTATCTTCTGGTATCTGGAAATTGCACCCAATGATGAACCAGACATGTGGAGGTTCACCGCTCTCTTCGTGATATCTTTGCAGATTTTTTTTTTAACTTAACATCATCAAGGAAGAAGTGTCTGTTGTAAATTAACCTGAGTACTTTTATAAACCAGTACTTTCTCAAACTCCACGAAGGCATTGTAGTCCTACATTGGATAAAGGCATTGTATGTAAATTTCTGACAGAGAAGAATGGAAGCAATAACATGGATCGCTGTGATTTTTTTTTTTTCCAGATTTCAAGGTTAGTGTTGTAGAGGTAAAACTCTGCTTTCATTTGTACAGCTCTTCTGTAGGAATCACGCAGCTTCTGCACCAACTCACTCTGCACACCCACATTTACATCAAAAATGTGTAAAAAGAAATGAAAAAGAAAAAAATCTAAATCATACAAGGAAAAATGCCAAAATAAAACACATATTGCAAGAAGTGTATGCATCATAAATGTTAGACAAGTGGACCACAAAGCTGATATCCAACATACCTATACAGCACATAACTAACGTTGAGTAAAACTGTACATTTAAGTCAAAAAGATACTGAGGGAAAAAATGAAGTAAAAGTAAAATATATTGCATTCTATGTTTGAAATATCAAAAATAAGTGCCACAAAATGTAGTAAAAGACAGTCTACCTGAAAGACAGACAGACAAGGTATGGTAAGCCCCTGAGGTTTCTTAGGGGACATTTTCTCCTGGTTCTGCCCAGGACCCGGTTTCCCACGCTCCGTCTCTGGTCACTTCAGGTTAAAAAAAAAAAAAAAATGTAAAACCAGAGAGTCTTTCTGGGTTTTCCTGTAATGGCGAAACTGTCGCAGGCGGTACCCCCACACCAGTGGGCGCACCTCTCAAGGATTTAACTGTTGCACTCTGGTGTCACATATAACCACACCCTTATGGACCGATTGGCTCGAAGTTTGCCCGGCACCGCCCTGAGCTCGGTGCATCCGCCCTCTCTCCTCTGTGCAGCCTGTTGCTGCCAAACCAGTTGGCAGGCTATGTCATTTAATTTATTAGAAAGCCTTTTTGAACTCAGGTGACATCTTCGTTTAGAGAGACTTCTGCTTTAAACTAGAAGTCTGGATTTGAGTACATTCTCAGGAGCGCACTTTTGGGGCGGGGGGCGGCGCACCTTCTTCAACCTCTGTGGTTGTGATTTTTGTTCTTATTTTTTATTTATTTTTTATTTTTTTTTTGTATTTTTTTTTTTCCTGCGCTATTTGAATGAGTTCTTCCTGGTACATCATGCCATTCTGGAGCAGGCGCCGGTCTAGCGAAAGTGCGGCACCGCTTGCATGAGTTGCTGAAACTTAAATGTTCAACAGGAACAGCCAGCTGATCACCGCGCCTCTTCTGTCAGGTCTCCCAACCTGACTTCCTCCCTCTCAATCGGCTGCACAACAACCGCTCTGGGATGGCCTGCCTGCGCGCACCGGGAGCTGCGGGCGCCCTTAAAGCAACAGTTTTCCTCCTAAACATCATCTCCGCTGTGGTGGCGAAGAGACACGTGGTTTACTGGAACTCTACGAACACAAGGTAAGAAACCTCCTTGCTGGGCAATCAGGGATGCTGCCCCTCAGGACAAACACGAGCAGCAGCAGCAGCAGCAGCAGATCGGGTTAGAGCTGAGGCTTGTCAGGCTGATTCAGTCTTCGGGCCCTGTGTGTAAAACAAACGGAGCCGGCCTGAACTCGTCCTGCCACGCAGTTGCACAACAACCTGAGCTCCTTGAGCATGACTCAGAGCTTAGTTTGTTTTCAAGAATTTCAGCTATGCGAGCAGATCGCGTGTTTTGTGCGCTTAATTAAAGGGGGGCGTGGAGCAGGAACGATTGCTCGAAGTCTTCAGGCTATGAGGCTACTGGAGTAAAAAATAACAAGAAAAACAACTAATGTTGATACAGTGGAAAACTGGGTTCACCTAAGACCCAGTTATCTGCTCACACCTTCTCCAGGCAGCCTCTTATCTTCCTCATAATAACCATTCTGCAGTTACTTATTATTCTGTTTAAACAGAGTCTGAAATATGGGTTTCTGTTGAAACGTTTGTTGTCATTAATGCCACTTATGACGTTCTCATGGCTTAGGTGTTCATTATGGTCTTATGTGCTTTTGTGCATCGGTTTGGTGATGAGAAGATATGCGTGTAATGGGTTGATTGGGGCCATTAGGGTTGGCAGAGTGGGACTTATCCAGGTGTTCCAGGATGGTCTAATTGGGCGCTTGAGGTGTGAAACTTGCAGAGACTCAAAAACACGTCAACTATTGTCTTACAGGCTTGTTCAGAGACTCACTCTACATGGAGGCGCTTTAAAATGAAAATGAAAGTAACGTTTTACGCAAACAAATTGCACACAAAGTAACATATCTCATACATTTATTTCAGTTGGATGAACACAGTTTTTGCAGAAGGACACTTACACTTTTTGCAAGAGAGAAAAATGTCCAGCAAAAGAAGATGGCTGCTCAGAGGGCCGTATATGAGCATATGGAGCACAAAAGGTGCCCAAAGCAATAGGTTTGGCTTCTTATGCCTGTCTAAGATTTGAGCTAAGGGAAGCATATGGATTATGACTACATTTAAAACAACAACAACAAAAAAACAGTTAGCAAGTTAATAAACTTTTATGGGTAACATAACTGTGAGAGAGACTGGTTTTACAGTTGTCAAACAGATGGTTGTTTTTCCACGAGAAGGCTAAGCTAAATAAGGCCAATGTTAAAGAGTCTTGCTTTTTTGGAGAGATGCATAGAAGCACACTATCCAAAAGTTTAGTGAAAGGAAAAACTGTGGTGGGAAAAGGCATCAAGCAGCCTTGAGAGTATTGTGGAGCAAAGCTCATAGAAGAGTTTGGGGGAGATTCACAAGGAGTGAGCTGGAGCTGGAGTCAGCCCAGACTACAGAGACCAGTCTAGACTCCAAATACTTCAACGAAGTAGAATAAAGGGATGTCTTTTAGCCTTTATTTAGTCAGCTGTCTGGCAATGTGGAGCACCATGTACGGTATGTTGTTCTTAGCAGCAGCTCAATAAAAAGTGTGCCACTCCTGCATTTTTTCTGGCCTCTGATTAAAAGGACTTTAAACCAGGAAAGGCATGACAGTCTCTCTTGAGCTCAGTGAAACTGGTTAGGGACTGGTCACTGTCGGGGAGTAAAGATTGAAAAACAATTGGCCCCTGTAACTTGAGAGGTACTTGCAGAGAGCAGCAGAGCTATGTATGCAGATTTCCTTTTCATATTTGTAGTCAAATGTTCATTAAATGCACAAGACAGGAATATAAATGGCAATGTTTTCTGTGGCTGCAGTAAATCAGAATTTCTCAAATGTTTTACTGTACAAGATTATGTCTATAATGTTAATGTTACTGATGCACTGATCGGCATTTTCCTGGCTAACGTGGATTTCTGTTTTTCTTTTTACATTTGGACTGCCAGTTTTTGTTTATAGAAATAAGTCATCTTTCCTCCAAAAAAATAGGTTTTCGATTTTAGCGGGTTTTTATCCTGGGGGAAAGAAAGGTTAAATAAAAATTCATGTTGCATAAAATATGAATTACATGTTCTTCAATAATGTTGATGGTTCTTGCTGTGCAGTGTTCTAGCACAACTTGTTACAAAGTCCTATATGATTAAAGTAGGCATTATAAGGGAAGTATTTTAGTAAAACAGAAAATCCATGCATTAAAAAATTATCCCTTTTTGTGGCCCAAAGCATATATTTGTAACTTTTATTTTTATTTACCTAAAAATCAGTCGATGTGCATTTTGTTGGTTGATTTATTTATTTATTTTTTTTACAAATTCTCTCAAACATTGTAGCATTTTTGTTGCATCTCTAATTTTCATGTACATACAGAGGATCTAAACATGATTCCCGAGACCAAAAATGTCTTTCCTGAGGCTTGTTGGTCGTTGCTGCAGTTCTTATCTTGTGCGTTAGAGCCAGCCAGCGTTTCTATCCAGGCAAGTAAAACCCAGAATTGCAAATTGGGATCCAACAGAAACGTGTTTTAGGAGGAACTCTGCAAGGATTAGGAAACCCCTTCATGTCCCCCAGCGATTTGGGGATGAATGGTCACAGTCGGCGACGGTGCCGCACACACTCTGCTGCACAGCACACAGTCACAATGCCATCAGGTGGAGGGTGACCCACTGTGGCAGAGAATCACTCTCATCAGCAACACCACCCAATCACAAAGCTATCAGTGGAGCAGTGATGTCCAGAACACCCTAGACTCGCTCTCCTCTCCTCTCCTCTTCTCCCTCCCCTTCTTCTTCTTCATTAGTTCCCTTGTTACATCCTGCTCTCCATTTAATTTTTTTTTTTTTGTCTGTGCTCCCCCTCCTTTATGTCTCGCGACTCCCTCCTGTGCTGTGATGGTTATTGGCAGTGTGATTAGTTGAGCTTCAGTCATTTTCCCATCCCATATTTTCTATTAGCTGCCTGCCAGCCAGCCAGGTTGTCTTGAGGCCTGTAAATGCAGTGAGGCAGAGGGGAGAGGAACACGGGTGCTATGCCTTTTGTGCCTCTGTGCTGCACTGCAGGACTCAAAGCCCCAAAATATCCACTTTTCGGACTTTAGTTAAAAGAGTCGAATGTTGTTTAAATGTTTTACATTGTGATATTCGTAGTAATAATATTAGCTATTTTATTAGCCGTTTGTTAGACTTTTTTTTAATCATTGTTCAACTAATATGTTTAAACAGATAGATCCCTTCTTATTCAATTCAGTTAATTAATTATCTGATCGCCACAGGGCTGCAGAGTGACTATAGCAGAGCATCTAGTTGCTTTGCAGTCTTATTTCCCTCAGGAGAGGGTGGAGGAAATGGCAAGCCAAATATTGATTCAGGACAGAGTAGTTTTGGATTTGCATTCATGTTTCTGTCAAACATTTCTTGAAATAAATGCATAAATTCTGTCCCACCTGCTTGGTGTCCAAGTGTTAAGTAGAACTCATCAAAAATATTGAATCACAATTATTGTTACACTAAAGCATAGGCTTTAGTGTAACAAGAAATACTGAAAAACATTATAGCCTTTTATTATTTTTCTCATCCCACCCGTGGAAATGGCTGCTTATTTTAGTACTGACAATAACTTATGAAGCACATGCTAACTTTAGCGTTGTGTGTAGTGAACAGTTAGTCAGTTGAGGTATTCTCACTGTTCTGTCAGGCTTTTTTGATGAGTCAGTATAGCTCATGTCAATGTTTCTTTTTGCATTAAGTACCTAAAATGTAACCACACAAAAATAGTTAAGTAGCAAGTGCTTCGTAAAAACGTGTGAACGTGTTTGTCAGCCTGCCCTTGACTAATTTGACTAATTACTCCTTGACTCATCGACATAAAAGGGCATCTAAGAAAACACTTTATTACGTCATGGTTAACACCAATGCAGGGTGTTAACCTTGTAGCCATTACCCTCGTATCTCAGAAATCTGAGCTTGAAATGCTAGAAAGACTTCTGATTAATCTGAAAAAAATTAGTCATCTTCATGTCTTGAGAGCTTTTATCACCACAAAGCACAGTCCTATATTTTTGGCTTTTAGTGCCAAAAAGCAAATGCTAACATTAGCAGCATTAGCAGTTAGCCGCTTAAAGTATTCTTAGAGTGCAAAATATTTCTTTGTAAAATCTTTATCTAGACTGTCACATTTACTTATTTATTTCTTCCTGAACTTTTAGATTAATCTGGCAAAGAAGCAGGGCAACTCAAGAATAACCGAGTCTTAAAAAATAGAAACAGTGTATCTGGACTTGAGCGTTTCCAGTCTCGCATTATTGGCTCATAGTTATAGTTTGATTTGATTTAGCAATATTATTGATTTCAAAACTAGATATAGCTTCGTGACACAGTTCAATTTCAACACTGATGGCAGATTTTATTTTTTTTTAAATGAGAGAATATAAAAAAAACAGTAAAATTGCTTACTACCTTTTCAATGAGAACAAGCAGAAGACAACTGAGGCATCATTAGCGGCTAATAACTGTGAGACATTGAATTTCTATGTTCCTAAAAACATAGAAATCCTCACGTTTATTACCTGAGCATACAAAAACTTGATGTTTTTGTTGTTGTTGTTGTTAAAAACAGTGTGGCATTTTAAAATTGCAAAATGTTGTGCCACATCTGTTTACATCTTGAGGAACAGACCCTTATGTTTTTTTGTCAACAACAAGCTAACTGCAGCAGCTAACGGCTAGTCATTGTTTTCCCACAGTGCTTACAAATTATTTGTGTCTTGATTACCCAAAAATGCTGCCAGATCAATAGATTAACAATGATGGGGGTGGGCTTATTCAGTGGTGACATAATCAGTCTTTATTACTTAATAATTCTTTAATACAAAGCTACAATATGTCAAGGGTAAAATCACTTCTCTGTGGTACATGATGGCAGCTTAGATTGGTATAGCTATTAGATGGTGCTTTACAGAACAGACTTTAGTTTGAGAATTGCATAACTTGTTCACTAATGAACTATTAATATTTCCAACATCTTTGGACGTACTGGCACAGAATAAACACTG